GCGTGCGGGCGGGCAGGCGCGCGCAGCATGTCTCCGTACCTTAGGCTTTTTTTCAGCTCCTCTGATTTTCTTTCTGGTTTTCTCTTTCCTTCTTGTTGTAGAAATTTCAGTCAGTCGACTACCTGTAGCTCTGGGCAATGTCCACTCTACATTTTAGTTGTATTCCATTGAAATTGTTGTGTGCTGCCGCGGCTAGATGTCTACCCGAGCAGCCATCTTGGATCTTCTCCCCCCTTCGCCTGTTTTGTTCCTCTCTCTGACTTTCCTCTTCTAATCACTGCAGTTGGTCATGGGATTGGAGTGCCAATGGGCTATCGAAGCACCCCCCTCCCTTTTCTCAGCCCAACTCCATGCCCACCGCTCCCTCCCACAAGGCTCTCAGGCGCTCTCACTCTCCCAGGTAATAAGCTCCCTGTACACTCTGAGGTGTCACAATATTATTGCCTCCCACGGTTGTCTCAGTCTCTGAACCCTCTCAGCGGCCTCCAGGCGGCCCTTCTCTGGCTCAGGCCTGCAGGAAGAGAGCCTTGGTGAGAAGCGAGAGCAGGTGCGTGACCCTTGTCGGACCGCGTGAGTGTGGTCCTCCCCTGTCACAAGGACAGGGGGCCCTGTCGTCAGCATCTCCTGTGGCGAGCCTAGCCTGTGCAGCGCTCAGCCCCAGGAGGCGCCCAGGCAGTGTGGGAAGTCAGGCAGGCACAGAGTTTCCTTAGCTTTCCTTTCGGCACAAGGCATTCCACCAAGAGCAAGCCAGGCCTGCTCTGCCCAAACGCCACCTCAGCTCTCAGGCCCGCTGGCCAGAGTGTGGGTTGACAACCTGCGGAATGTCCGCTCAGTTGGTGACAGTCTCAGGACCCAGACCTAGAAAGGAAGCCGAGAAGGGAAGGGCGTTTAGCTGCATCTCAGTGAAGGACCCCAGTCTCTAGCAGGAGGGCTGTTGGTACCCTCACCAGCCCCTGCCTCAGTGGACAGTGCCGCTGAGTCTGGGGGAAGGCAGGGGCCTGCTTCAAATGATAAATCCGTGGCACAGAGCAGGGCCCGTGTGCCTGCAGAAAGCGGCAGGTCTCTTCGGTGGTTTGTGTGAGGTCCGAGGCCAAAGAACCCGTCCCTGAAGGCTGCGGTCGGCAGGGCAGCGCTGCCCGGTGCGGTGCTTTGTCCGATGGGCTTGTGCCCTCCGCTAGGGCTGCGAGCATGAGCTCACTTCTGAGGCTGCAGAGAAGATGACAGCGAGGCTGTGCATGGCAGATAGCAGGTGTTTTAACATCTTTCTTCTGAAACATGCAGTGTAAAGCCACTTGTGACGTGGAGCGGACCCTGCAGTTACTGTGGGTGGACACGGTTAGCCAGGGCACTCCGAGGGAGATGTCCCTGCTGTCCTCAGCGTTAGTAACGCTTGTCGCTACACTTTTTTCTTTTTCTTTTTCTTTTCTTAAAATTAATCAGACCTCAAGTTATAAGACCAGTTTAATGTCTCCCGCTAAACTGTGCCCTAATGGGCACCAGGCTTCACCCAGCCAGTCTCCCAGTTGCCATGCCCTCCAATGATGCCTTGTTCCCAGAATCCTCTTTCGCTCGTGGCACAGTAATGCAGCTGATGTTTAACAAACGCCTGCATCTTATGCACCCAATGGGAGAGAGGTGACGAGCTTTTACATTTAGAAAACCTATTGCTCACATAAAACTAAGAGGAAATCTAAGTTTGTCTTTCTGCTCTATACCAAAACCCTATTTATTTCATAACAAGGAACAATTGTCCTTTTTCTATACCCTTGTCTCTTTCCCCTACAAAATAACAAAGAACATCTAAGGAGACAAATTTCTCATCTCCTGTTTCTCTTTCCTTGGCGACCTGACCTCGTGAGCCTCCCACCCAGGACCCGCCCCTTCGCAGCCTGGCCCAGAGCTCCGTTGGGCTCATGTTGGTGCGTGGCTGACCCGAGGTCGGTGGCTGCTGGCCAGCGGAGCCACTCTTGCCGGTCTAAAGGCTCCTGAGCCAGACTCTGGGCTCTCGTCACAGGTTTAGGGGACCGGGGCCTGGCCTTCATCTAAGGGTCATTCCCGAACGGTCCCCGAGCTGAGTGCGCCTTGCGGCTCCCTCAGCGTGTGGCCGTTGGGGCCACAGTGTCCACAGCCCCTGCTGACGGCATTCATGGAGTTTCCTTTTCAGTTTCCTTTTTCTGTGTGACATGAGGGCTCAGAGGTGTTGATCTGAAAAAAGACAAATCAAGCCAAAGCATAAAATAGCCAAGAAAGTAGCCCTGTTTCCTGTTGGAGGGAAACAGTGATCTCTCACCTGGAGCTCACGGTTTTCGCTTCGTACCAAGGAGCTGCTTCGAGACCTCCAGCTGGCGAGTCTGAAAGGAGCGCTGGCCTCCTGCACGTGGGCTCCTGCAGTGGGTCTGCCCGGCTTTAGTAACTGACAGGAGGAGCAGCATAGCAGGCAGAATCCTTTACTTCCTGTCTTAACAAGAGGCTGCTATAATGCTAAAGTTATGAGAACTGAAATGAAATATTTTAAGGTGGTTAAGTTGAAGAAAAATAAGATGAATTATATGAAAGTTATCATCTGAAGTGACATATGGAAATAATATTGTGACATCCCTTTAAAAGCTGAACATCATCATATTTCCTCCTGTCCTCCTCCTGTCCATCCCATCATTCTTTCTTTTCTTTATTTTTGGTGTGTGTGTGTGCATGGGCTTTGTTATTAGATTTTATTGTTTTGATTCAAAGTATTTTAAGACATCTTTTTACATCTTATATACGTGTTTTTTTTTTTATTCAGTCTTCATATATTAAAAACAGTGTACTGGCCAGATGTATAAATGCTTTTGCTCATACAGAAGCTGGGATTGTGGTGGTGTGAGGTTATGGAGAGATAATGTTGGAAATTTAGAAGGACTGGAAATCTTGAATTTTGTTCGTTTTTATCCCACCTCCTGTCAGTGTACACATGGAATTTTAGCTGTAGGTTCAGGCTCATTCCTTTTTGTTTGACGCCAGAGCCAATCTTTGAGTTGATGTGCATGTTTGTGAACTGGCCAAGGACAGTTAGGGTGTGTATTTTCTTTCATCAGAAAAGAAAAGTGCGTTCTGTCTGGGCCGGTTCTGCAGCCCAGTAGCTTCCATCTCTAAGAGTGAACCCGGCCTTACGCTGCAGCAGAACCTGACTAGCCTAGAAAATGCCTGCATCGTTGCACCCTTGGGCAGCCTGACTCCTCCAAGTGAGAACTGTCCAAATCTCGTCTTGCTTGCCTGCCCAAGCCTTAAAAAAATAAAAGTAGTCAGGGGAGGGGCTTAGGAAAGGAATCTGTTTTTAAGTGATAGGGACTTACCTCTTGTGAGAATGTGCAGGGTGCAGTGTGCCATCCTTTGGAAGGGCTCCTGCCAGTGGGTGCTTAATTCATTATTTCTCTTAGAGCAGTGGTTGGCAAACCATGGCTCGAGAGCTGCGGTTTGCCGCTCGGTTGACTAATGAGTTTGCTGACCAGGGGGATAGGGGCTTAATCACAAGGAACAACAACAGCCTGTAATTACTGGAGTTGAGAGTCTAGGTTAGTGGCGACAAACTCATTAGTCAACAGAATGGCATACCTCGGCTGGAGAGCTGCATGTGGTTCTGAGGCCGCAGTTTACGGACCACTGTCTTAGAGGAACAGAAAGATTGCCGTCCTTAGTAATGGTGAAAGCCTCCTTATGTACATATACAGCCAAGGACTCTTTAATGCCCCAGCAGTCCTCCACGTTGCTCGGACTTCTTGCATCCACATAGACCACGTGACTGATTTGTCCTAGGGGGACATCTAAACTAAGTTATAGTTTGGACTTGTCTTTGTTGAGTATTCCTTCCCGAAAACTTTCTTTATATTCTTGTATTTTTCCGTGCTTTTTAAATATATTCTTAGTGAGGGGCAGTTGATGGTTTTTGTTCTTGGAATTTCAATTTCAGTGCACTTTTCAGACGCCTAAGGCCACTTGCTGATATGTTGTATTACACCAAAGGCTGGTTTGGATTTTTGCTTCATTTCATTTTAGTTATGCTAAATTTTTTAAAAAAGGACATCAGTTGACAATCACTTTTCTTTAAGGGAAGGATATTTTTGTTTTGTTTTTAAGATGGTTTTAAACATGCCTCTAGAAACTGACTCATCTTTATAAGATCAGTTCTTACTATAAAACTCCAAAATAAGCATCTACAAGGGTTTGCTATTCCCCAAAAGTTCCTGGGTTAGATGGTCGAGTTAGACTCTCAGGAACCCAGTGATAAGGTGGAGCTGACTTCAAGTTATTGGGTTGGTATTTTAGTTTTAGTTTTGAAATACATTTTTATTGATTTCGGAGAGGGAGAGGGAGAGAGAAACATCAGTGATGAGAAAGAATCATTGATCGGCTGCCTCCTGCACGCCCCCTACTGGGGATCGACCACACAACCCAGGCATGTGCCCTGACTGGGAATTGAACCCTGATCTTCTGGTTCATAAGTCAGTGCTCAACCACTGAGCTACACCAGCTTGGCGGTAACACAGGATTTTATGTACAAGTTTCTGATACTGGTGTGCGTAACTCAGCTTTGTGAAGTCATTTGCTTTGCTCCTCTAAAATCTGTTTGTAATCTAGCTTTACTTTGAAGTGCCCATTTCTCTTTTAAGTTTGTACATTTGAGACCAGTAACAACCAGTCTACTTTCTTTCATGTTCAAGATATGCAGGTTATTTTCTACTTCATTACCTCATGCATTCAGTCACCAGTCGTCACTCTTTGAGTTCTTGCATCCTCGTGGTTGGTTCTGATTGCGTGCGATGCAGTGTGTTAGGACTAGGCTTGCCATGGGAGGTGTGTACTGTCCGACAGTGGTGCTGTAATTAAAGGTGTCTTCATTCCACCTGAATCACCACAAGAAACAAAACTTACCTCACTCCGTAAATTATTACAAGAAATGTACTCACACGTCTCAATTCTATGCATATGCCTCAATTTAAGAAAGAAAATATTTTGATCTTTAGCTTGCTGGACTATGATACAGAGAACCTGAACTCGGAAGAAATCTATAGTTCTTTGCGTGGAGTTACAGAAGCCATTGAAAAGTTTAGTTTTCGAAGCCAAGAGGATCTGAATGAGCCAATTAAACGAGATGGAAAGAAGGACTGTGATATTGTAAGTATCCCCGAACTAATAGAGAACTGTCTATCGATTAAGTGATGATTAATGATTCTTCTGAACACTGACCACTGTCATTACATTGTTTCCTCATTATTTTTAGCGTGTGATAGAAAGGGTTATTTCTAGAGGCCCAAGGCAATTTTGAGTCACCCTTGCTGTGTTTGTAAAAATTTTCAAATCCCTTTTTTCTCAGTTTGCTTTTGTGTGTGCTGGTCCTATTTGTGTTCCTGTGATGTGATAAATTGTGAGCCTGCACCAGACACCAGCATGGCTGAGAGGGAGCTCTAATCTCTTGCGGAGGCAGGCACATAAGCAGGAGACTGTGGCACATGCAGTAGGTGGTTGGGCACAGCACGAAGACTTACCAGGACCAGTGTTGGCGCCCAGGGAGGATCTGCAAGCGATGAAGCATGAGAGCCAAGTAGGAGGCTGCAGTGAGAGCAGGGGTGCGAAAGTGGAGAGGTGGGAGCGGTCCCCCTGAGTGGAGGGAGGGAGCACGCTGTGTTTGGGGGAGTCGAGAAGTGGCTGCAGAGGTGGCTCGGCATGCTCATCCCAGGGGGGGTTCCACCGTGTTTTGACTTCGCTGGGGACACTGGAGAGTCCGTGAAGGATTTTATCCCAGGACTCCCTCCCAAGAGTTTCCTATAACTCCATTCACCACACGCTCTGGGCCTCTGGCATGGTCACATGAAGTTTTAGGAAGATTGCTGTCACTCAGAGAATTATTCCAAAGCATTTGGGTTCAGTAGGGAAAAGGCAAAAATAGAAGAGTTACAGGTCTGACTAAGACTCATGTGTAGGTGCTGGTGCAATTCTATGAGAAAATTTCATAGCAGGAGGGAAAACGTGTATGATAACCCTTTAATACATGTGACTTCCAAGACCTGTGTGGTATCCAAGCAGACATATCCATTAGGCCTCTGGGGATGGCCGTCGGAAGTTCAGGCCATCGAATTAGGCTGGGGACAGACTTGAGAGGCATTGATTGACTAGTTGCTCCCTGGGCACCAAAGAAAAGCAAATGAAATCAGCCAGGTAAAGGGTAAAGGCAAAATCTGAAGGAGCACCAACACTAAGGAAGAAGCTGGAAGAAAAGCTGGAGAGGATGGGAGGCCAGGAGCGTGTGGAGAATGGAGTTACGGGGAACTCTCGGGAGGAAGTTCTGGCCAAGAGTTCAAGCTACATGTGCTCGGGATCCCATCAGGCAGACCCAGAAGGAAGGGCCCCATTGGATTTTTAATTTACTATATATGTTCAAATTCCGTGTTAACCTAGAACACATAAAACACATGCTCATTCACCAGTGTCTTGACATAGAGCCAAGACCTTCTCTTTGAGAAGGGGCTCACTGTTTACTTTCTTATTCTTAAATTCTTCTTAAGTGAATTTACACTTAGTCACAGTCCACACTTTACAGGTTTCGTTCCTCCCAGGAGCCCATGGGACTTTGTGAGCATGGTTTGAGCAGGGTTGACAGTGGGAACAGGTTACAGTGAGTGGAAGAGTGAACCAGTTGGAAAGAGAAGAGGGCATTCAGGCGTTCCCATGGGAGAGGCCTGACCTGTGTGAGTGCCAACAGGCCAGAGAGAGAAGGATGTGCAGGGGAAGGCCCACTGGTGGCCACGGGCCACTGAGGACATGGAGGGATGCGATCTGGGCCCTGCCGAGGGGCCGGCCTTGGCCAGGAAGTAGGGGCAGGAAGACGGAGGGTTCCCCCCGACAGCTCCCACTCTGTGCCATCAGTGAGGCCTGGCACTGGGCTGCTGGGAGGGACTGGGAAAGGTTTCCAAGCAGCTGGGGGTCGGGTAGGGCTCTGCCTAGTGAGCAGGCGCCCTGCAGGAACAAGGGCCTCTGGGAGGAGGTGAGTGCCTGGGTATCACTCGTCCCAGCTATAAATGTAACCGATAGAATCACCATCTCTAGAGATAAAGAACTTGAACGTATACTGTGCATTTTCTATTCCTTTATGTGTATTTATACATTGTGTTTCGGGGAGGGAGGGGTGCAGAGTATTTTTAAAATAAAAGGGACATCTGCCCTCGCTAGTTTGGCTCAGAGGAGAGAGCATTGGCCTGTGGGCTGGAGGGTCTCAGGTTTGGTCAAGTGCACATGCCCGGGTTTCGGGCTCCATTCCCTGTGGGAGGAGTGCAAGAGGAGCCAATCAATGATTCTCTCTCATCATTGATGCTTCTCTCTCTCTCTCTCTCTCTCTCTCTCTCTCTCTCCTTTCCTCTCTGAAATCAATAAAAATGTATTTAAAAAAATAAACTGAAATAGAAGTGGCATCAAAGTGTGCATCCTATTTCACTGAGGACACGAGTGCTGTCCTGCAGTGCTCCTCTCAGTGAGTTTGGTGGCTGGATGCTAATCCACATGGAGGCGCCATACGCCTGTCCACAGTGCCCTGTTTTTTGGAACATTTAAGTGTTTTCAACTTTTTAAAGCATAAAAACTGTGCTGAGAGTTGGAAAGAATGAGGCGTGGTAGTGGAAGTAGAGAGCTGGGCCAGGAGCCGCGGCATTGCCCAGGGCGGGAGGAGCAGAGGCTGGAGAGGAAGCCGCGAGGCCAGAGGAGAACCGAGCCGACCTGCAGAGACAGGGCCGTCCCGCTGCAGGAGGGGCCTCGGAGCATGAGAAGAGGCAGTGACAGCGAGGAGTGAGGTTCACCACTCAACCCCTTGGCCGCTGGTGACCAGGCTTTTAATTGCGAAGCTGAGGTAGACCTAATACTGTGTTTAAGGTGGGATTGGGAGCCAGTCTGCCTCTTCCTAAGCTTGACCAGTGACCCTTTTGAGGAGGCAGCCGCTCACTTGTACAGCACTTACTGCCAGAAAGGCTATGAGGGACATATGGCAGCATGGCAGTCACCATCATTGTGGAACTTAGTGAAGTAACATTTAGTAAAAGGACTTCAATTTCATAGCCTTTAATGATCTAGCTTATAACAAGCTCAGCAAAAAGAAAAATGATAAATTTTTACACGAAGTATTTTATTTTCATATTATTTATAATGGCCAAAACCAAAAACTAAAAAATCAGTAGAAGGGGAATAGTTGGGTAAATCTTACTATAATTAAAGGCTAATAGCAAATCAACTGAACAGCAGAACAACTGGTCTCTATGACACACACTGACCACAGGGGACAGATGATGGATGCAGGAGCTGCCCCCTAGTGGTCAGTGCACTCCCACAGGGGGAGCACCACTCACCCAGAAGCTGGGCTCATGGCTGGCGAGCGCAGCAGTGGTGGAAGGAGCCTTTCCTGTCTCTGAAGCAGCGCTGAAGATCCCTCAGAGGGGTCCCAGCGAGAGGGTGCAGGCTGGGCGAGGGACACCCCCGTAGTGCATGAATGCGTGCACCGGGCCTCTAGTTATGGTTATAGAAACTATTTATGTGAGACATGCTTACTCTACGAGGAAAGCAAAGTACAGTGCATCCCAAAATGTATACACCCTTTAACAGTGGGTAGCTCAATTTTGAAAATGAAATTATTTTAATAAACACCTCCTTTATAGTTAGTTACTAACAGTGTGTGTACATTTTTTGGACACCCTGTATATGCACTGTGATTCTCATGCTATAAAACATGCATGTAGACAAGGACAGGGATAAAAAGCAAAGTTTAAAAAGTAAGATTTTTTTTGTTTTTAAATATGATTAGAATTAGGATAGTTGAGCTTTGTTTTTTGAGTGTCTTTGTTCTTTAAAACTCTCCCTTTCTGTCTCCATGAATGTGACGCTTGGTGCCTCACATAAGTGGGAGCACACAATATCTATTTGTCTGTGTCTGGCTTATCTCAGCACAGTATTTTCAAGTTGCATTGGTATTGCAACATGTGTCAGTATCACATTCCTTTTTTAGGGCTAGTCTTCCACTGTACACGCATCACATTTAAAAATCCATTTATCCCTTTATAAATGATTTTTCATTATAAAAATGTTCTGTTTTTAGAAGAGAGTTACAAAGAGAAGAAAATTAAAACCATCCATGAATTATCTTCCCTGAGAGAAAACCCCTGTTAAATCATTTTGTTCATATCCACGCATGTATTTCACAATAATATCAGTAAGCAATCTTTTTTGGGATGGGTGTTTATCAAATACGTTCCAGCAATTTCACTAGGTATATGTTCACAAAAGTAGAAAGAAGGGACTTGAACACATATTTCTAAACCAGTGTTCATGGAAGCCAAAGGATGGAGAACCTAGTTTCTTTCTATCAACAGATAAATGGATTTTTAAATGTGATGCGTGTGCAGTGGAAGACTAGCCCTAAAAAAGGAATGTGGTACTGACACATGTTGCAATACCAATGCAACTTGAAAATACTGTGCTAAGTGAGATAAGCCAGACACAGACAAATAGATATTGTGTGCTCCCACTTACGTGAGGCACCTAGCGTCACACTCGTGGAGACAGAAAGTAGAATAGAGGTTACCAAGCTAGGAGGGTGGGAGTTAGAACATGATGGATGCAGTTTTGGTTAGGAAAGATGAAAAGGTTTTGCTCAAAATCTCACATGGTGGATAATGGTTACACAACACTGTGAATGGGTGTAATGTCGCTGAATTGTACACGTAGGGTGAAAATGATGTCTCCGTATCATACCACAATTTAGGAAAAGCACGTGCATCGGCACAAGGGGTCCAGCTCTGAGGCTGTTTCACTCGCCTTAGTCACATGTCTGGGTGTGGAGAAGACAGGGCCGCTGTTGCCCGTCAGCCCGAGCCCGCTCCTGTCCCAGGGCCGCCGGCAGAGGGGCTCAGAGAGGGAAGGAGTCAGAAGTGTGGCAGGGACAGAGGCCCAGGGGCTTCATTGTTGAAGACAAGACTCACAATCTACTAGAAAAAAGATTTTTTTTTGAAAACAGTAAAAGACCTGTTCTTTTTGTTTAATCCTCACTGAAGATATTTTTCCATTGATTTTTAGAGAGTGGAAGACACAGGGAAAGACAGAAATATTGATGTGAGAGAAACATCGATCAGTTGCCTCCTGCACTCATCCTGACCAGGGCCTGGGCTGGGGAGGAGTCTGTTACCGAGGTACATGCCTTTGACCGAATTGAACCCAGGACCCTTCGGTCCACAGGCAGACTCTCTATCCACTGAGCCAAACTGGCGAGGGCAAAAGACCTGTTCTTTGACCCAGCATAACAGACTGAGTCAGAAACGTGCGAAGGAGAAGCGGCCTGTAGGGGACCATATGCAAACCCTGAGCCTGGTTCGGCTCCCCGCGTGGCGGGCCGTATGCCGCGGACCCTCTGGTGGCGTGGTTGGGGCTCTGCCCTGGTGTCGGCTGCGGTGAGGAGCACTCTGGCTGCAGTGCTGTCCGTGTTTCTGAGGACGGGGTAGGGTGTGGCCTTCATTCTCGGGACTTTCCAGAATTTCATGTTATTAATCCCTCAAAAAATGTTTGCGTAAAGTGAACCCCACGTTCAAAGTAAAGCCGATTTTACGTGTAATTTAATGATAGAATAGATGACAATATGAGCATATTAGGTCGCTTTTAAGGCAGTTTATGAAGTAGATATTACAAACTAAAATTTTAACAGCGGTGGTTTTGTTAGTGGCCAGATTTCAAGTGAGAAGCCTCTGGCTCTCCCGATGCTTCTGGAAACGTAAGGAACGTTTTCTAAGAGCCCTGAGAAGACTGACGGAGTTCTGTGCACAGGTGTCCCGGGACGGTGGGGTCGCGTCCCCGGCCACGGAGGGCCGGGGCGGCAGCGACGCGGTGGAAGGCGGCCGGACGGCGCTGGACAACAAGACGTCCCTGCTCAACACGCAGCCGCCGCGCGCCTTCCCGGGGCCGCGGGCCCGCGACTACAACCTGTACCCCTACGCCGACACCATCAGCGCCTACGACAAGACCGCCCTCAAGGAGGCCGTGTTCGACGACGACATGGAGCAGCTCCGAGACGGTTTGTCCCCTTTGTGTGGCTGTCCCCGTCCAGAAGCTTCTCCGGGGCGCCCCTCCGGCCGGAGCGCTGGGCTGTGGGTCTACGGGACCTGGGCACGCTGTCGGGCCTGGTTCGTCCTTGTTCAGCTCCGCGCCTGCCGTGTGCTTGGGCGTGGAGGGGCTTTGTGGGAGCTTCTCCTTATCTGAACCAACGAAAGAAATAGTTTCTCCTCTTTGTCTGATTTGGAAGGGGGGAAAGATGGTAAGGCAGGATGGAGACATTGAGTATTGGTGCTCAATACCTATTCCCCACCTCTGTTTATTTGGGTTTTTAAAATATATATTGATTGATTTCGGAAAGGAAGAGAGAGAGAGAGAGAGAAACATCAGGGACGCACACTGCCCGCTGGGGATCGAACCCACAACCCGGGGATGTGCCCTGACCAGGAGTCAGACTGTGACCTCCTGGCTCATAGGTCAACACTCAACCACTGAGCCACACTAGCTGGGCCCACCTCTGTTGTGACACTTGGTTTGGTGGAATGACCTGCTCCGGTGTAGAGTGAGGTTGGGGCTCAGGTCAGATGGAGGCGAGATGGGAAGAGACAGAGGGCAGAGGAGAGCGGCTGCGTCGCCGAGGCAGCACGTGCAGCCGGCGTCCCTCGTGCAAAAACGTCTGTGTTGTGTCTCACCAGTGCCCATTGACCATTCGGACTTGGTGGCGGACCTTCTGAAAGAGCTGTCCAACCACAACGAGCGCGTGGAGGAGCGGAAGGGCGCCCTGCTGGAGCTGCTCAAGGTCACCCGCGAGGACAGCCTGGGCGTCTGGGAGGAGCACTTCAAGACCATCCTGCTCCTGCTCCTGGAGACTCTTGGAGACAAAGATGTGAGGCTGCTCTTCTGCTTTCCCTTCCGGGGGGCAGGGGCTGCTCTTGTGATGATGCTCAGCCCCCTTTGCTGCTGGGCTCACGGCTTACAGCACAGCCTGTCCGAACTGGCCTCGGAGCCCAGGTAGCAAGCCCGCCTCGTGTACCTGCACGTGTGTTTGTGATTGGCCATCTAGTCAACGCTGGGACTTGTTCCCGCATCAGGTCACTTTACACAGTTTGTAGCTTAAAATATTGTTTGTAACAATGAGCTTTTTTTTCCTTGTAAGTTTTATTTTTGTTTCATGTTTAATTGCAAAACAGAGAAGTTCCTTTTAAAGACCCTATGAAATGCTGCATTCCGGCACATTCTGTCTCGGTTCAACCGTGCTTACGTCAGGGTCGCGCTGTTAGGAACCGGGGCTGTTAGCATCGTCTGTTGTTTTCTATTATTATTTTTGAAGTAAAGGCCCTCTTCACACTGTGTCGTCTGCATGGGACACACTAGGCATTCGCTGTACAATCCTAAAGGCGGGAAGAATCCAGTCCTGCCTTGCCCCGTGCAGCTGGCCCGCCCAGAGACAGGAGCACATGTAGGGATTGCCAAGCCGCGTCCCTCCGAGCGGGGCTCCGTGTCCGCAGCAGAAACAAATCGCCTGAGCGTGGGAAGGACTCCCGGGCAGGACCGGGCGGAGATCTGGCCCAGCCCTGGTGAAGGTCATGCCCAGGGTCATGCCGGTGGTGACGGGAGTGGGAGACCGGTGAGCAGCAGGCTGGAATGTCACGCTGACTTGGATCCTTTCTGCTGCTGAGGATTAGTGGTTCGGTCTAGAACAGGGCCAAGTGAGGCTGGCAGAGTGGTGATGAAAGATCTGCATCATCTCTTCTTAAAACAAAGCGTTGGTTTCCGAAGCCCTTCTCCTGGGCTGGGCTTTGAGGTCAGGATAGAGTGATACCATGTGGAGGCAGCAGAAGGGTGGGTGAATTGCACAGGTGAGTGAGAAAGAATCAGGATGTACTTTTTGGCTGTGTTTGGTGTAAACTCCACTCTCTGTTATTGAGATTAGGAGTTTGTTTGGAATGGCTTTCCTCCAGACACATGTCCTCAAGCACCTCGAGGCCAGTACAGTCCCCTCCCCATAGCCTCATCACGCAGCAGGTTGGGAGAATGACAGGTCTCAGCTGCCCTTGAGAGCTCACAGTCTTACAGGCCCCGCATCCCGTCCGGGCGGTTTATCTGTCCTCCGGTCTTTGACCCACGTGGTTTGCATCCCTGAGCCTCAGGAAGTCTCCCGCCCCCAGAGCTCCATTGTCCTCATTTGGCTCATTGAGGAAACCTTCATCTGGTCCCCTCAGGTGCGGGCAGGGCTGTCCCAGAGCCCAGGTCAGCATTGTGACCGTGTCCAGGCGTTTGTGAGCACTCGATATCCCTGACCCTGCGGGCGGGAACTCGGTGCCCCCGACCCTGCGGAGCGGGTACAGGCTGCTGACGTCTTTCTTTCCTCCTGTTTCCCAGCATTCCATTCGAGCGCTGGCACTGAGAGTTTTAAGGGAGATTCTGAGAAATCAGCCAGCAAGATTCAAAAACTACGCCGAGCTGACGATCATGAAGACTCTGGAGGCCCACAAAGACTCCCACAAGGAGGTGAGCCGCCCGAGCCAGGAACGCAGAAACTAGTCCGGGCGCTGGGGGCCGTGGGGGAGAGGACTGTCAGACACTGCACGGCCTCCAAACGAGCCCTCCCCTTGAGCACAGGCCGAGCTGCTGCAAGGGGTGAGCCCAGGGCTGCGTGGCGGCTATGGTCAGTGCTGTGCCAGGGCCGGTGCCACGTGGTGGGTTCCTGACTCCCTTTCCACATGCACAGAGAGCTCGGCCTGGTCCTGGGTTCCCACGTCCGTGGTTCCCATTGGTTTGGTCCTAAGGAAGGGACTTTGGTTTCCTCCTGGCGTTGGGCATCACGCCGGGTAATGTTGGAGAGCGAGATTAGCTCCGAAGATGTGGGCATCCTAGGGCAAGTGCGACAATCCTCGCTCCAGAACCACGGAGAACTTACTTCCCCTCTGAGCCTCAGTTTCCTATGTGTAAACAGATGGGCACCACCAAGTTTCTCGTGGGAATTCAGTGAGACGACCAGTGACAGTTCCTGGCTGGTGCTTGGTGCCAGTGGATGCTGCGCTGTGTGGGTCTCCCTGCCCTTCGTCCTCTGGCAGGCTCTCTGTGGCTGTGCCACGCCTCGTCCACTAGCTCCTGGACGTTTGCCAGGCTGGCAGACAGCGCCTGCGGGTGCTGGCACCTCAGGTGTCTGCACTGCAGCTCATGTACTGCAGACGGGCACACAGTAAGTCCTCGTCCACTTGCTTACCGAGTTGTTCCAGCACTGGATCACCCGTCCTTGGAGTATCTAAGGTCTACAGAGGGTGGAGCCTCCTAAGTAAAAATGATTTCAGTAACACCATTCCAGTGAAAGCCAGTGTGGAAAACAAACCAGATATTTAGAACTTTAGGAACCTTAATTCTGCCGACGATGGGTTTGACCCCCCAGTGACAGAGATAACCACTTGCTCATTTCAGTCTCTTGGCTCACATGTGACTGTTCATGAGTGTACTGTGGATTAAAGGAATTACAATTAGAGTAATCTTATATCTACAAAAAGCACCAGTCCCTAACTCACGGTTTTCCTCTGCTCAGCAGTTACAACTACCAGACAGTGACCTATCTGACCTCCTTACATCCCCACCCTGATTGCAGGCTCAGCAAGGGTGGGGTCTGCCACTCTGTCTAAGCATCTCACCATCCAATAGTCCTAGCAGGACAGCATGTGTGAGGCATGTGTTTGTTTGTTTGTTTTTATGTTTTTTTCCAGAAAAATGATTTAAAATATGTTACATACAATATACATTAATATTTCAAGAAAAAAGATTTTAAATATAATATTACCAAAATTGTACTAACATAGTATAATATCACAAAAGTTGTAGGAAATATTAAAAATCTCCAAATAACAGGATTACTTCTATTATATTCTAAAATAGTATTTTTCCTATTTTGCTCATCAGTTTATGTTGTTCATTATATTCCACAAATGAGTGAGATCATGTGATATATATTTATCTTTCTCCAACTGGCTTATTTCGCTTAGCATAATGCTCTCCAGTTCTATCCATGCTGTTGCAAATGGTAAGAATTCCTTCTTTTTTATTGCAGCACATGTAGTATTCCATTGTGTAGATGTACCACAGTTTTTTAATCTACTCATCTGCTGATGGGCACTTAGGCTGTTTCCGAATCTTAGCTATTGTAAATTGTGCTGCTATGAACATAGTGGTGCATATATCTTTTCTGATTGGTGTTTCTAGTTTCTTGGGATATATTCCTAGAAGTGGGATTACTGGGTCAAATGGGAGTTCCATTTAATTTTTTGAGGAAACTCCATACTATTCTCCACAATGGCTGCACTAGTCTGCATTCCCACCAGCAGTGCACAAGAGTTCCTTTTTCTCCACATCCTCACCAGCACTTGTTATTTGTTGATTTGTTGATGATAGCCATTCTGACAGGTTGAGATGGTATCACATTGTTGTTTTGATTTGCATCTCTCGGATAATTAGTGACTTTGAACATGTTTTCATATGTTTCTGGGCCTATTGTAGGTCCTCTTTCAAAAAGTATCTATTAAGGTTCTTTGCCTTTTTTTTTTTTTTATTGGATTGTTTATCTTCCTTTTGTTAAGTTGTATGAGTTCCCTATAAACGTTGGAGATTAAAACCTTATCGGAAATAACATAGCAGTGGGCTTTCTTGTTTTGTTGATAATTTCTTTTGCTGTGTTGAAGCTTTTTAATTTGATGTAGTCCCATTTGTCTATTTTCTCCTTAGTTTTCATTGTCTTAGGTGCTGCATTGATGACAATATTCCTAGGACATATGTCTGATATTTTGCTGCCTATGGCTTCTTCTAAGATTTTTATGGTTTCCCTTCTTATATTTAAGTCCTTTAGCCATTTTGAGTTTATTCTTGTGTATGGTGTAAGTTGGTGGTCTAGTTTCATTTTTGTGTGTGTTATCTGTACAATTTTCCCTACACCATTTATTGAAGAGACTGTCTTGACTCCATTATATGCGCTTATCTCCTTTTTCAAATATTGAGCGTAACGGCTTGGGTCAACTTCTGGATTCTCTGTTCTGTTCCATTAGTCTATATGTTTTTTCTTGTACCAGTACCAGGCAGTTTTGACAAGAGTGGCTTTGTAATATAGTTTGCTATCTGGTATTGTGATCCCTCCAACTTTGTTTTTCTTTCTCAGGATTGCATCTATGTTCATCAGACATATTGGCTTGTAATTCTCTTTCTTTGTAGTGTCTTTATTTGGTTTGGAATTAGGATAATGCCAGCCTCATAAAGAGTCTGGAAGTGTTTCTTCCTCTTGGATTTTCTGAAACAGTTTGAGGAGTATAGGTATTAGTTCTTTGAATGTTTGGTACAACTCCCTGTGCAGCTCTCCAGACCTGGGCTTTTGTCTAGTGGGAGTTTTTTGATTACTGCTTCTATTTCATCAGTTGTTATTGGCCTATTCAGGTTTTTGATTCTTCCTGATTCAGTTTTGGGAGTTGTTTCTAGGAATTTGTCTGTTTCATTCACATTGTCCAGCTTATTGAGATATAGTTGTTCATAGTATGTTTTACAATCCTTTATTTCTGTGGTGTCTATGGTTACTCTTCCACTTTCGTTTCTGATTTTATTTATTTGGTTCCTCCTCCTTGTTTCTTGATGAGTCTGGCTAATGTTTTATCAATTTAGTTTATACTTTCAAAGAACCAGCTCTTGGTTTTATTGAATTTTTTTTGGTATTGTTTTTTTAGTCTCTATGTTATTTATTTCTGCTCAAATTTATTTCTTTCTGCTTACTCTGGGCTTTTCTTGTTTCTAGTTCTTTATGTTGTAGGGTTAAATAATTTATTGCTGATATTCTTGTTTTTTAGATATACCTGTAGTGCTATGAATTTCTCTCTTGGAACTGCTTTTGCTGTGTCCCAGAGATTTGGAGTTGTTGTGTATTCATTTTCATTTGTTTCCAGAATTTTTTTTTTTCTTTATCTCATTGATATCCCATCCATTGTTTAATAACATGTTAAAGTTTAAACAAACATGCCTCCATGTGTTTGAATGTTTTAGGGTGTTTTTACTGTAGTTGATTTCTAATTTCATTCACCGTGATCTAAGAAAATGCTTGATATGATTTCAATGTTCTTGAACTTATAGAGACTTTTTTTGCGTCCTAACATGTTGTCTATCTTTGTGAATGACCCATGTGCACTTGAGAAGAAAGTATATTCTGTGTTGGGGTGGAATCTTCTATAATTGTCAATTAAATACAGCTGATCTAGTGTGTCCTTTAGAGTCACTATTTCTTTGTTAATTTTTTTGTCTGGAAGACCTATCCATTGAAGTCATTAGGTTGTTAAAGTCCCTTACTATGACTATATTGTTGTCCACCTCTCCATTGAAGTCCTCTAGAAGATTTTTTATATATTTAGGTGCTCCTATGTTGGGCGCATATATGTTTACCAGGATTATATTTTCTTATTGGACCAATCCCTTTAGTATTATGTAGTAACCTTTGTTATCTCTTGTGATGGGCTTCATTTTACTACTACATATTGCTGCTCCAGCTTTTTTTTTTTTTTCTTTTCCATTTGCATAGAAAATTTTTTTCCATCCCTTCACTCTCATCCTGTGTGAGTCTTTTGTTTTGAGGTGGGTCTCTTGTAGACAGCATATAGTTCAGGTCATGTTTTTGTATCCATTCTGCTACCCTGTGCCTTTTGATTAGAGCATTTAGTCCATTTACATTTAGGGTTATTATTGATAAGTACTTATTTATTGCCATTTTAATTCTGTATGCCTAGTTTCCTCTCTCCATTTCTTCTCATTACAGCAATTTCTTTAAGCGTTTCTTATAATTTCTTTAGCCTTTTTTTTTTCTTTTTTGTTGGTTGGTTGGTTGTGTGTTTTTTTGTTTGTTTGTTTGTTTGTTTGTCTAGGAAGCTCTTTATTTGACTGTCTAATTTCAGTGGTAGCCTTGCTGGATATAGTACCTTGGTCTCAAATTACATCCAGCAATACATTAATATATATTATTATCTTGAGTATTTAATGCCATTCCCTTCTGGGCTGTAGAGTTTTGATGAGAAACCAGGTGTCAGTATTATGGGAAATCCTTTGAAGGTAACAGTTTTGTTTTCTGTTGCTGCTTTTAAAATTCTCTCTTTGTCTTTAAATTTTGGCATTTTAATTATGATGTGTCTGGGCGTGAGCCTGTTTGGGTTCTTCTTGTTTGGGGTTCTCTGTGTCTCCTGAACTTATGTGACTTTTTCCTTTACCAGGTTAGGGAAATTTTCTGCCATTATTTCTTCAAACACCTTCTCTATGCCTTTCTCTCTTTCTGTCTCTTCTGGAACACCTGTGATTCTAATACTGTTATGTTTCACATTTTCCCACAGCTCCCTTAATCTGTCCTCCTGTTTTCTAATAGTTTTCTGATTGAGTGATAGTTTCAACTTTGCCTTCTAATTCACTGATTCAATTCTCAGCTTCCCCTAATCTGCTGTGTATTCTTTCCAATACTAGGTCTACCGGTTAATAAT